AAAGTTAGAAGAACGAGAGAGTGTGAGAGAGAGGGAGAGGATCGGGGAGGGAGAAAGAAAGCGAAAAAAAAAAAAAAAAAAGAAGCCGAGCACAATAATAATATCCTGAGAGTGCAAATGTGGATTGAGATCCCCCAGAGATGCACATGCCTCTGAGCGCAGCAGCCTTTTTGCAGCTCTGCTCTTGCAGAATATGACTGAAATTTTCTGCTATATAGCCTCTGTCTTTATAGCTGATGAAAAAAATTGCAGATTATTAGCATAAATGTTTACTCTTCATTACGCTGATGACATTGTGCACTCGAGATCTTGGTAATCTTTGGGAAAATTATGAGTAATTTTTAAAAATTTTAAAGCAGCAGCAGTTACCATGCAATTCAGGCTAATTCTGCGTAGGCTCCGAACGGATATAATTATCGAGGAGTCAAGATGTTATGCTAAAAACTATGCATTGATATTCCCATTTATTATGTACATACAACTTTGACAATGTTGATGCTTGAAATAGCAGGAAATTGTCTTGCGCAAAAATTACAGTCCATATTAGGACATGTGAAATTGCGAAGAATTATATAGTAATTGCAGGCTTTCAGATGGGAGAGCCAGAATGCTCAAACTAGTGCAAATGTGGATAAAATTACAGATCAGAGCAAAAATTAGGGAAAAAAGGGGTCTGGGATTTTTCAAGTTGGCTATAGGATTCCGGAAGTGTCTAATGCCACATGATTGCTGCAGCTTTAGGGGAGACATTCATGCCTCAAATAACTCCTTTTGCCAGAGCCGCTTTAATTGAATTTCTCGTGCTTTCTCTTTTCACCGGGCAAATGAGTAAATTGCCTCCCCACGGTACAAGCCCGGCCGGCCCCGCCCGTGCTCCGGGGGGGCAGAGGGTGCCCCCTCGGCCGGGAGGCTGCCGTGCCGCCGTCCCGGACCAGGCTGGTCGCGGAACCGTCACTTACCCCGGTCGCCCCCCCGGGACCGGCCCCGCTCAGCCGTTCCCCCGGCGCGCAGCCGGGACCAGGCCCGACGGGGGGCGGAAGGGGGAAGCTCGGCTCTGGGACGTGGGGTGGATTGGTCCCAGCCCCCCCATCCCCAGGCTCCCTCCTCCGCTCAGCAGTCCTTCCCGGAGTGCTGCGGAGGTCGGGACATCTCTCTCCCCCCGGGTACCCTGCTCCCCGCGACTTTGGCCGGCTCCGGGAGGCCGATCCCGGTGCAACTTGTGAGAGGGATTATGGTTCTCAGCGGTGCTTGCCCCGTCCCATGGGACAGGAAAAGAGCAGAAGAAAACAGGTTACAAACACACGCATGTCTCTATACATATGCATCTGCGGTGCTCGCGGGAGCTGCAGTACCGCGCCTCTGCATCCGCTGCCGCCGCCGGCCCCCGCACGGTGTGAGCCGCTTCTGGCATGCGAACAGCGGGGGAAATGCGGACCCTGGGAGGGCTCTGGGACATACGGGGATGCTGAAGGACGAAAAACCCCATCACATACACCATGTGCGGACAGCCCAAAGAGGACTGCTACCAGCAGACAACAAATAAATAGTAATCAATATATTAAAAAAATACTAAATAACAGAAAGAAAGCACGGAGGCTCCCGTACTGGATGTGGTGTGCTCTGCTCCCCGACCGATGATAGCGTTCCCCTGTTGGGCAGTCCCTGTCCCAGGGACCCCACGTAACTGTCGGCATCCTGCCAGACCCCACGGAACCGAGCAACACCCAGCGCCACAATGCTACATCGGACTGGAGACACTGGGCCAGGAGAGACCAGGGCGCAGATGTTTGGGGGGAACTTTATTTAATTGCGAGAAGCGCCTGTGAAAGCGGTGGGGCAGAGGGACAGGGAGGGAACGGGAATCATCTCCGTCCCGACCTTGGCCCGCGCCCACGGCTTCCTCGTGCATCCCGGACGACAGATTTAGCAAAACTTGTCACCTGCCAAAGGGGTGCATCCCATTTCCTCCCCTTCCGCCCCCCCTTCGTAACCCCCCTTCGGAAACACCGCGCTGCCAGGAACACAGCTCCTGCTGGACCACGGGGGCGTGGGGCTCCGCGCTGCTGCTCGCCACGCGTGCCGCCCCGCTCCGTGCTCGCCGCCCCAGCGCTTCGTCGTCCGCCAGCGGGGAAGTTTCTTCTCCCCGGTCCGAGCGGGCGACTTGAGGCCACTGCCACTAGTGGTCCGCGGCCGGCAGGAGGGTGAAGGAGGGGAGAGATATGGGGTGAGTCGACCCTGCTGTTTCTTGGGACGGCTCTGGACTCTCGTCCCCGTCCTCGCCGCCGGGTCAGAGCCGGCGCTGGAGGGCAGCTGCCTCTTTCCCCTTTGTTTCTCCCACTTCCTCCTCTCGCTTTCTTTGCACCCGACTCTCGTCTTCCAACGTGCCCCTGTCATTCTTCGCTTTTCTTCACTCCTCCTTCGACCCCCGCCTCCCCTTGTCCCCAAGCTTTCCCCAAGCTCTCAGAAGCAATCTGCCCTCCCGCTTTCTCCCCTTCTTTCCCCCTCCTTCTTTTCCCCCTTCTTTCCCCCCTCCTCCCGACGTGTCTCCTTGTGAGGCCGCCCCCCTCCGCCTCCCCCGGCCCCGCCCGGGCTCCTCATGCCAAGGCCTCTCGGAAGAGCCTCGGCCAGGCTGGCCATTCCCGAGCCCAGGCAAGCTGGCCTGAGCCTTCTTGTCTGCAATGGGATCTTCATCACGGCTCTCTCTCTCCGTGCCCTCTCCAAGAATGGCGAGGTCCTCTTGGTGATGAAGGCCAGAGAACCCTTCTTTCACCCGCTTTTGCGTCTCCAGCAACAGTGCCTCCAGGGACGCAGCCCGCAGGGTATGCCCTCGGGGTTACAGCCTGGGGGGGCACAGCCGGGAGGGGGCATCCCGAGTGCGGCGGCCCCAAAGGGTGCAGCGAAGATCATCAAAGTGAGGGTTCAGCTCAGAGAGGGGCAAAGGAGCGTTCCAGAGGGTTACATCCTGGAGGGGTCCAGCCCTCGAGGGATACATCCCATGAAGCTAAGACTTGGAGGGGGTGCTGCCTGGAAAGGGGTTCAGCCTGAAGGGATGCTGCCCTTACGAGGTACATCCCAGAGGATTTCAGCTAGGTGGGATGAAGCTGAAGGGCTGCATCCTAAAGGGGAACATTTTGAGGGGTCCTGTCCTCAAGGGGCACATCTCAGAGAGTCCCGTCCGTGCCTCCAGCGCTCGAAGTACCCCAGAGGGGCTTGGGGCAGCCACCAGCTCTGGCCCAAGCAAAGACCCCATGCAGGTTACCGGCCTGGTTGCCATTGCCAGAGGGACAAGGCGAAATGCCTCTGGGTCAGGGCTGCGCCCGAGAAGCAGCTCCAGGACTGCTATGAATCCCGGGCACGGCCCTGCCCCAAACCCCTCCGGACAGCCATGGGAAGCTGTGAAACGGCAGCAGTCTGTCCCGGGTGAAATGTTGCTGGCGCCAGCAGGCGGGAGAGGGGGAAGGGGGGCAGCTCTGGGCTGCTGCAGGCAGCGCTGAGTGATTCATGGCCTCGCCAAGAAGACTGTCAGGGGCGAGATTTTATTGTAGACGGGAAAGAGGGGAAGGAGGAGGGAAGTTGCAGGCTTGCGGCAACTGTTACAACGGGGAGGGGGTGGAGGCGACGCGTCTCTTCCTCCCAGCGAACGCCCGGGTACGAATCGACACCCTCAAATTTCCCCATCACCCAAAAACTCAGCGTGGGCACCATGGAAACAATAATTTATTTAAATACTCTCTGCTTATTGTAAAAGAAACATTAACGAGTGTATAAGTTTTCCATAATAAATAACCAAAAATACAGTGGTTTTTTTTTTTTTTTTTTTTTTTTTTTTTTTTTTTTCCC